TCTGTAATGCGATCGCTTTGGCACTGTATAGCGATAGCATCATTAACCCTCCGTGCACCGAACACTGAATAAGATCTTGTTACGCGATATCTGACCCACGGGGCCTGACGCGGAGCGCTCTCGACTCCTTTTTGCCCGCACAATACTCGCTAATTAAACGAGCGGGCAGCCCGCCACCGCAGATACCAGAGCGCGATTGCTTTGTTTTCGTCCGGGACCACGCCACGCTTCCTTCGGCCAAATTAATTGAAGACGAGAAAATAAATAGAGGACCGACCGACCGCCCGCGCCACCATTCCTCGCAGCAGATGGCCGTCACCGGGAGGCTGTGAAGTAAACCGAGGTAAAAACGCAATGTGCCAATAATAATCCGAAATCCGTCGCTATATCTTTGAGATGTCACGTTACCAAAAAAAAAGAAAAAAAATAGAAATATAATTACGCTTCTTTTTTCCGCGACTTTGTGGACAACTTGTTCAATGGGACCCATTATTAGCTTGAACCCAAACTTCGCATTCTATTTAAGGGAATCGCATCCAATATTTGAGCTCATTACAAAAACTACATATATTATATATCTTATAAATTATATCAATGAAAATTCAAGCTTCTATGATTTGAAATAATGTAATTCAAGTATTCAAACTCCTTAGAAAGTAAACAAATTTTACCTATTTTTATTTTCATATAGTTGATATAGTATTTCATTCTTCTTAAATTATGTAATGTGTTAATTTGCTGCATTTCTTTCAACAACTTCTTCAATAAGATATTACGCAAAGGACACTCTTGCGACCATGTAGCAATGACCGTCGCGCGTGTTACTTTTTTTCTTAGAGATCAAAGAATCTCGCGGATAGCTCGCGCCAAGCGATCCGAAACGTTGGCATGCCTCTTCAGGAACGTCAGCCGGACGATACCGGCGTTTTTCCCGCGTCGAAGTTCGCAGGCGTGGTCGAGTGCGCAACCGACGACGGCAAAAATGTTCCGGCAAAAAAGCACCTCGCATCCACCTGGATCGTGGAGCGACCAGGCGACGCGATCATACTGGATTCTGGAGACTTATTCCTTCGTGCTTTTTGCGCGTCGTCGGTTTGCGTCATGATCCACATCCTGTGATTTTACAAAAAAAAATTCATGATCGTTTGCATAACTTTCAGATGTTTTAATCTCCTGGTAGTTTGAACAACATGTGGCACATTGCTTCTCGCATATAAAAAGTCTACTAATTTAACTACGACCACGAAAGAACACAGATAAAAATACATTATACTACATCGTCTTTGTTACGTTCGTAGTTGTATTTGGTATTCATCTACAGAATCGTTCAGAATGATGTTCTAATGCGAGCTTATGCGCATTCTAGCAATATAGCTAACTTAATAACACTATTAAAACGTGCGCGTGTAGTCGGATTGCACGCGCGACCATCAGACGTCCCTCATCAAGATCCTCATTAATTATTAATCATAATAACCGCAGGGCGATATCTCGACGATAATAAAACGAGAGTACATGGCTTTATTCTCTAATGCGCCTTGGACTTGATTCTTTTTTTTACTCCCCCGTACGCGCCTACAGACCGAGCTATTAATCAAACAGCTCATTAATTACTAAACATGGCGACACGCGTAAACTGATTCGATGCTGCCAGGGAATACGTACATGTCGAGGACGATAAAAGGCTGGTACGTCTCGTTAATTAATTATTCGATAACAGTTGCGCGCTACGAGCGGACAATGTTCTTGGCCTCGTTAAAACGTATGCAAATGAGATCTGTTCATCAACGGCGCCCAATTAAAGGAGCCAAAGTGAATCCTTCGTCCGTCGAGAGACGGAGATGCGGCGGACGTGTGAATGAAAGACAAGCTGCGCGCGGTTCCCTTTGTAAACGACGAGTAATGTATGAGACACCAAGAAGACGATACTAATGTCGTTAATCGATCGACGTAAATTTTGTGCGGTGTGCTGAGAGGAAACGTCAAGTTTCCTTGTGTGTAACGAGTTACACACGAGTGAATTGCATATGTCATCGATTAACGATCGACACCAACGATGAAATAAATGCACATTTGAACATCAACATTATCTTCACAAAGATATATTTAAAAAAATTTAATTGTATTTTATCGAATAAATTAAAAATTAATTTAATATTTAAAAATATTAGTACTTTATAGTGTGTGTTCAGGTATTTTATGTTAAAGTGAACACTTGTTAAAAGAACACGAGGCGTAGACAGCACGGCGATTAGCTTCAAGGACAGTAACCCGTTCTAACGGCCCATTCGCCATATGACCTTTAACAAGTCTAGACACTCAGTCGCCTAACCACGTTGAATCAACTAGACTATGACGAATGTAAGTGTGCGTACAACGCAATACATAAGTAACATCTGTATCAGAACACTCGTGCCACTGGTTTCCGCGCAATCTTCCCTAGCTATAACACCTGCTATCTGGGATGAGACATTCGGCCGCATCTATTTTTGATTAATTATTATACTTGGTCGTTCCGGAGAAAATAAGCGTATACCAGCCCCGTCACTTTGCAGTCACATCTGATATTTCGCCGGCATTTCTGTCGGCGACCGATCGCAATTTCGAGAGTGACTACGCTTTTCGCGCATGTGAACGCAGCTGGAGGGCCCGAAGGGTCCCCTTTTCGAAGCGCGGACAGTAATCATCGACGATGGAATCGCGGGGGACGTAACGATTCGCGAACGAAGGTTTGATCCGCAGCCTGTACTTAGGTCGCACGACGAACGAATACACCCTCGAGCCGTTTCGCCATTGTAGTAATTGTAAGCCTTCGCCTTCGGGACGGGGCTACAAACCGGATCACCGGGGAGCGATCCAGATCGGAGATCACGGTCGCGCACCACAGGACTCGTTCCGACTTGCTCATGACGCAGGGTCACGACGAGGTATCTCGTTCCGCGGCTCTGTGATTCTTATCCAATCGAAAGATTGGAGTTTTTTGTAACTCATTAATTGTTGGTTATCGTTGCCATTGTTAACGTTTCAGACGCTTTATCCCTCCCACTGTTTACAGCAGAAAGACACGTATTAATTACCTGGCGTTGCTCGTAAATATGAGATACCAGAAAAGATATCGGCATCTCTTTAAAATCAGCGGATCACCGCCGAGCAAAGGATCACGAAAGCCTTCAAGGGCTGTTTAAACTTTCTAACTATAGAAAATACATATACGCATCTTATATATGTTAATGCTACCGTGAACTCCTTCGTGGCAGCGGTACACTCGAATTATATAAAATGCGAACGCGCGATAAAAGACGTATCATTACTCATGGGTTACATCCCACGATACCGTGCCTCTGATTACATAAACGATCGACTGATAAATACCAGGGAGTGGTATGAACCGAAAAACGGGAGAGAAAATTGTCGAGAGTGCACATGCGAACCTACGCTGCAGGGAAGACTGCCCTACGCGTTCGACGAGAAGAATTCCTACACGATCCACTATCCTGAACCGAAGCGCTGGTTATGGTCGTAAGTACGTTCCTCTCGTGAAAACGCGCGCACGGAGGAGTCTCGAAGCAACGCGGCAGCGCACGATTCTGACACGCGAATCGACAGCCGCGAGCTCGCGAGCCTTAAGCATGCTGCTCTCTCTTTCTCTCTCTCTCTCTCTAAATGTCGAGTAATTTCCCTTGACCCTTGCCCGCGAGATTTCCGCCTGCAAGGAGAGACTTGAAACGGGTAGCAAAGCAATAACGAGAACAAAAGTAATAATAAATTTAAATGTAAGAGTAATTTAAATATATGAGAGACTATGTGAGAATATTAACCGAAGAACGCGTCATTGTGTGGTGTGTGTAACGTGATTTATCATTATAAAAAGGAAATTACGTATGTGATTTGAATAACGCAATATAATAAGAGCCGCATTACAACGAATAAGTCAAGTCAAACATCAAACTGTCTATCAGGCCGTAGGAAGAAATTCCGCCTAATTACAACGATATAAACGATAACATCAAGGCGTGTTACGAGGCGCGTACAAAAGACGCCCGAAGGATACCATCACGGATACGCGAGACATCACGATATCGAGATGAAAAGCACATATGGAACGAGATAAATGCTCGCGCTCGCGAGTGGTAACGTTGGCTTCGGCAACCGCCTGAGGCGCGTAATCAGACTCGGTGCTGTTCTCTTAGCGAACCAGTGAAACGATGCGGACTACGTCACAGTTAATGGTCTACCTTGAACCCGTTACCATGAAGACTCCATTCGGCCCGGCGAAACTGGCATGAAAAAAAGGCGCATCGGAGGGATATCTATGCTGAGTGCAGGCAGATATGCGGTTGCAGGTTGCGGCAAAGGTCGTCGGGAGGCTCCGAGGTGAGGAGTTCCCACACTTCGGAGCTGCCTGCAGCACTAGAAGCGCATGGGTCAGACGCCACTATACGCCTGCGGCGGCCGGTCTGGCCGACACGATGTTACACGAGACGAATCAGAATCTTTTCTGTCATTAAGATATTCTCAATTTCGCAATTCGGTGATAATAATTAAAGTAACAAGTTTAAAAACCGTCCCGAGTTAAAATTCAATATCGTTATGCTCTTATCGCAGCAATAACGTTCCAAATGTCAAAAATACGTCATATTTCAACGAATGCCGCTTAATTTCAATATAAAATTAAACCTCCCGGAAAATTAGAATATAATAAGCGCGAGCCAGATATTTGCCATAATTGAAAAAGCGACCCCGCCTTTACTCGACAAGTTCGACGCTGGATGGAAGTCGCGAGCCTAGCGGACGAATTCGACACGTCCGGAAATCTACGGCGAGCGAACCGGTGCCTCGTGTAACAGAGTCTGAAAGTGGCTCGGGGCTCGGCGCGTGCAGGACGTGATTGTGTCGCGTTTTTCGTCTCTCTCATACTCGATCGGGCAGCGAGTTTCTCTCTCGATCTATCGCTGCCTACCACCTCTCACCACTCGCCCCTACTACAGGCCGACTCTTACCTTTTCGACGTCCGTCCCCTTTTTGCTTCTCCTTCGCTCCTCGCCACGATGGAGAGGACGGCTCCCACCGCCTCCGCTCGACCACGACTCCGCAGGCCCGGCTCGTGCTGCTCTTGCTGTACCTAGCAGACCTCCAGTGGCGTGAGTACTCGAGATTTTCTCGATGAGAGTCCGGATGAAATCGATGATACCTGAAATTCAGAAATATTTATTTGTTAATTATAATTTGAAGAGTGATAAAGGGATAGCGAAATTGGCAAAAGTATTTCGGGCAAAGTAAAAGCGATAATTATAATCTATTCAAATCTTTATCTAAATAGATTTGTTTCAAGTTTATAGTGTTTAGAACATCAGTTATTGCAGCTTTCTATAAGAAATTTTTAATACTCCTCTAAAGGCAATTTATATCATAAAACTTAGTTTCGACGTGGCGCACAGTAAAATTAATAAACTGAACCATTTCGAAAATTTTAAGCAACAGTCTCTCTTTGTTAATTTAGAAGTCATAGATATCCATTAAAAATTAAATTTGTTCATCCGTCCAACGAAACCTATTCAGCAAATTTAAAATTACGAAGACATCTGTCATTAAACGTACCAGCCCATCGACAAGCGTTTGACTGAATACTTTCGATCACCGCCAGCACTTTGCTGTCAATTAGTTCGTAATTGTTATTCAGAAAAGGGAAAAGAATTTTCTTATCGGGAGAGATACCTAAGAGGGTCTTGACAAATCGCCTCGTTAAGTTCGATAGTTACGCCAGTGTTCCTAGGCAAGGCGCGTGGCTGGAATGCGGCGCGGCGGTGCTGTCGCGAGCGACTGGAACTCGCCGCGCGCCACTGAAGAGTGGGAGAATGAGAACCAAGGTTCCGGCGAATGACACTCTCGCGGGTGTTCGGAAAAATATTCGGACTTATTCAAATCGCAATTTTTTTATCTGTGACTTGATATCAGTGGCTCACACTTGAACAATAAAAAAAAACCCGAAATCATATCATTAAACTCGTAAAAATATAGCTCACTAACTCCTTATGAAAGGGAATTAAACCGAAGACATGAGAAAAGTATCGTTAAAAGTATAAGTAAATTGGGGCGATGCCTTCGCTTGTAATCTCCGTCGCGATAAACATTGCTGATCACGGTGTTAGATTAAGGCATTAAAAACATTGCTGCACATGAACACGGCTGTTTTATAATCGTACTTCCATGGACGCCCACTGAGATTTTTATAATGCACCGGCGCGCGGCGCGGCGGCTACACCCTGCCAATTACACCTTCTAAATCCCTATGCGTCCCGACGTTTAGGAAATAAAGCTCTTCGTTATAATACGCCCTTAACGGACTATCGTCGCCACGGGTTTCGTCCTTTAATCAGCGATTCTGTATAACTAGCAAATGTACGGTGCTTAATAAGAGGGACCGACTTAATTACGAGGATATATGGCGAATGTAGATCCCGCTCCGGCCCCTTCGAACCATACACAACGGTCAACTATATCGAACCGAAGCCCAATTTGCATACCGAGCTGGATACTCTTTCTCCCTCTTCTCCCTTTTACGAATTCGCCGCCGCGTAACTCTCTCGCGTTGCGGAAATATTATTTCGTGCACCAGAAATTCCGACGTGCCTCGCCGCTTTTTTTTCACAACGTAACGACACGCCTAATTAATACTGATATCTGAGAACATATCGCGATTTCCGTGCCATCGGAAAATGTATTGCGTTAATTGAACATTACTGTGCAAAAGAAGATAAATTTCTACACATTTCGTAAAAGAATAACAGATCCTTTTATGTCGAAATGAAATTTTTGCACCTGCCGCAAGGACAAACAACGCTTGTTTCGATTAAACTCTGCAGATAAAAAAAGAATTGCGAAGCGACATCGAGCTCGCGAGAACGCGTGCGTTCGATCCGCCGCGCGAATCATGATTTATGCACTGATGCCAGGCCATATGGTCCAGGATGTATCATTGTTGCCATCTCACAATGGCACGAAATGCAATACTCACGCTATCGGGTGCGCTTTCGCATAATGTGTCATAAATAGGCGGCGCGCACAACGCCGTTCGCATACCGCGCTGAAACAATAACCATTGTGGTGGCTGGTACTGTTTATAAATAAGCTCCTATAAGCTCAAGCCGAGCGTTGAACATATATACGCGACCACCAATGGGCGGGCTACGTGAAGCGCGAGAGATTTTTATCTGAAAAGAACCCAGGCGTGTGCAGGTGGTCTTATCAGAGAAACACTTCGGCTTGAGCGCGATCATTATCGCGAGGCGTCGTGATAACTCCGCCGACGATACGGAATATAGAGACGCATTTACTTATAGGAAATATACAACTTGGCTAAATTTACGAGACTAGTAAAATACATAACACCCAACCGTCCGACGAATCTATGAAGCAACATCTCTTACAATCTCTGTGCGATCTGTGTTGCGTTATTGACGAGGAAGCGAATCTCGTGATTATCTCAATCACCCGCATCGATGCAATCGTACATGCGAGCGATAGAAGAAGTGGAGAATAAGAATCTCTCTCAGGATCGTGGAAACGCCTCGAGCGAGGGGATCTGTAAAAACATGATGCTGCGTAGACGGCGCACCTTTGCCCCGCGAACGCGGCGGATACTTCTGGGCGATTAAGAAACGCGAATGTGTGGAGAGGAAGAAGAAGAAGCTGCGTAAGATTCCCGCTCCAAAGGTAGAGGCGGCAACGCATGCACGCGCGAGCGCGGCTGCACCTGCGGCGTTTTTCACGGCGATTAGAAACACCGTTGGGGAACGACTGCAAGAAGCCAATTGTCCTTTGCATTGCAAGAAACGTGAAATAATACGCGGGGAATGCGCGACACTGGCCGATAACGGGAAAGTGTGGTAGAGAGTAAAAACGGGATCCACCTTGAAAAATGCTTCTTTTCGACGTTGAATCGAGTTTTTTTATTCTTATACTGAATACCGTGTAAACGTGGCAAAGATATTCTACTAACCACTTCTTTGAAAACGGCATTGATTGCATCTGTACTGTTAGATTTGAAAGTGATAGTTCGGCTTTGATCGTAAATAGTAATAGTAGAACACGAGACGCAAGGAAGATTGAGATAAAAGATATAGTAATAGCAGCACGAAGATAAACGCGGCGGATTAGAATGAGGATGTATTTCTCAAGATAGTCGCGAGATAGTTTGAGAATATGATAGGAAACGTAACGCCGTTGAATGTAAAGTTCAAGGGAACGGGAACTTCCATTTAACGGTAGCTACTGCGGTTCGCCGCTTATCATCGCGCTTAATCCAATTCTGGACGACAGTCGTGTCTGCGGTCGTGAGCAACTCACGCGTGAACTTTGCTGCTGCGGTAACATGAATTATCGCGAGGTGCGCCATCGAGAGAATCGCACGGTTTGCGGTGAGCGTAATATTTCTTTGAAAGCCAAATAAATAAAGGTGATGCTTGTTTCCCTGTTTAATTTGGCAGATTGAATGAAATATCTCACGACGGTGAGATGATGGCAAGGTGACGTACCGAATATTGTACGTGTGCCTTGCTCTAAGTAACGTGGGAAATGATTTGCACGATCGTACGATGTTGATTCCAAGAACGGCGACTAAGGTCGAATATGACGCGTTCACCTGAATGAGAATGAATGTGAATGGCTGTCCACTACTGTCGCTTACGTTGCTCTGACTCATTTTACGTCAATGAGAATCCGGTTTCGAAATTAATATACGTCACAGTAAACGCACTCTCCGGTGTTATATCTAGAATCTGCACCGAGATAAGGACACTTTAATTGATGCCCCGCGAAATGTCTCCTATTATTATTACTGTAATTTGTAACGATACCTAACGATTAGTACGGCACGGTGCAGCGTTATTAAGAGTTACAGGCACAGAGACTAATTTATAGGCGTGGTGCCCAGATGGTGCAGCCCGATTCATTAAGATTCTCACGAAACGCGCTACCTGCGCAATATTAATCCGCCTCTCGTGGCTTCCCTCGAAAATCTGAGAGATAAGCTTGGCTAGCCAGGCGAGTCCAAGGGTACGGCAGATAATTATTAATGAGCCTCGTTCTCCGGTCTCTCGCGGGCTAATGACCAGAGGCGATAACCGTATGGTAATAATAGCCCGGGCCATGCAATCGCGCGCACGGTTACGCACTCGAAAGCAATTTGCGACTTCTTTGTTGGCAATAATTAACTAAGTACGTCGCTTGCATATCTCTATGGGGAAAATGGACTCTCTATGCAGGGAAAGCCGTGGCGATAAACTTCGTTATAATCTGGCAAAGCCAGTTACTTTATAAGTATAAAAATTTCACAAAAAAAATAGTTGTACATTTTCAGTTCTAACTGATACTGATTCGTCGCAATTGCTTTGCGATTTCACAATCGTAGCGGAAAAACGAGCTTTTTTATTAAACGAGCACATTCACGACGTGACTCAGGTACGAGTCACCTAGATCCCTAGTGTGCCCTTTGGCGTCATATTCCGTTGCAAAGCATTGACTCACGTGCGTGGGCACGGTATGCGAAACGCGTACGATGCGCGACATGAAAAACGCTCCGAGATTTGCGCACACTTTCTGGAATCTGACATTAAATCCGGGTGTACGCTAGCGAGACGTCGATGACATCATGTTGCGCATCGTTAACCACGCCGCGGGCGATCGCAGAACGCGCGGGACTTTTCGCGAGGATCGCATTTAGTCTGACAGCATCACTAAAATGCAAAGATTTGTAATGCAAACATTAATTTCGCAGGATAGGTATATAGACCAGTTTCCTCCAACAAGAGAACATCAAAATCGAATATGTTGAAGCTTATTTAATGTTAATAATAAATTATAAAAACTGCAAATTCTCTTTTATATAAAGTCGAGTTGAGATATCTTTGTAATGCGTAAAATTAAAAAAAAAAAACTAATTTTAACGTTACAAACATTTTCGAGCAACGTGATAAATGTTGTCAGATAAATTCGAGTTTGCTGAATTTAAAAAAAAAACATCGGCTTTTCGTTCGCGTAATTGACGTGTAATAATTGCTTGCGTCTTTAAGAGCGATAAAAACGGCCTCAATTTACACCCGAGGCGTGCAGCTTCGATAATCTCGCGTATTCTATTTTCTCTTCGAGACCGATAAATTAGGTCCATCGAATTCTTCGCTCCGCTCACGACGCCGATAGCCCGCGGGACTTTGCATGCGTATGTCTATTCGTATGGCATATATTAGCGACGAAACGTCGTGATTAACGTCGTTTCGAAGATAGCGTCGCCTGGGGCACGGATTTATGTGAAACGCGACAACAAACCGGCCGTTTAATTGCCGATTCACGTGCCGCGAGCGCGAGCGGCAATTTCTAGCGCGAGCTAACCTGGAAATTATATCCCATGCTTAACGGGTGTCGTGGAATTATATTGGTCTTTCGCAAAGCTACTTGCAAGCTCGCCACCACCTTAATCTCATCGAGAGATTACATTCTAAAAGCATTAATGAAAGTCCCACGTGCACACGCATACGCCTTTCATATTATTACATATCACCAGATGCTGTCTAGAGTCTAGAGCGACGGCACCGGTTTATTGACGTCGTTTAATCGGTTTCGATTATATCCCGCGCTAATTACCATCGAGATAACGCGAACGATCGGGTTACTCGTTGCATGCGCCGTGAATCATGACACCGTGTATATTGGGTTGCAAAGATTAAGGCGCCTCAGGTCCAGCGATTTCAATGCTAGTGAGAATTAATTCGCTACGTCTTTCCAATTTTTATTTAAATAAGCTCGATTTTTTTCATTAATTTTATTTTCAATTTACAATCCCTAATCGTTAAAAGATGTAAATGCAAGACTAAAGACTTTTATAATGCACAACTATATATACTCGCAAATAATGTATTATACTTCTTTCATGCGATATATATTCTGATATTTGAAACAACTTAACCGTAATTACCTAACGATAAAATTAGAACGGGGGCGTATTGGGTAAGTCATAGCTCAAGAAGGAAAATCTTTAACAAAAACGATTAAGAAACGAAGAGAGTTAAACGAGACGCATTTGTCATCCCGTCCTATATAATTTTACGACAATTCCGCTGCGCCGGTCGTCGTGGGTGTAAGCAATTTTCCAGTTCATCTACCAATTCGGCCTCAGACTCCCACGCGATCCTGACAAACGTGACTTCGGGCTTCGAGGTCTGTTCCCTTTGTGTTTGGCCAGCCAGCGTGACCGAGGAATGCGCGTCGACTTTATCTGCTCGGCGACACTCGCTCGCTCGCTCCTTTATCGTTCAATTAATCCACACGCAGGAAACAATTGGCACACGATGCTTGCCGCAAAAATACGAAACGTCACACTGATAAAATTGCAGTCACGCTAGCCAGATATAATCGCGATTTGAGCAATTTGATCATGATTAAAATACTTAGAATCGAGGGCGTATCGATTTCCTAAGATTAATCTACGCGCAATTAATCACCTCAGATTGAACAACTGGTTGAAAGGAAACATAAAACATTCTGTGTAACATTGAAAGTTGAAATTTAAAAAATTGATGAATTAATAAATTCTACAAAATAAATCGCGATCAGGTAATACCTTTAAAAAAATATAATCTGAATGTCAAAGCATAATCTGAACCATGTGTTTTCGATTCTTGTGCATCGACAAGATAATCACATATTAGTATATTAATCAATTAAATTGTCTTTAAAAGACAAAAATAATTCGTGCATCTAATAGTTAAAATCTGCTTATCACGATTTAAATAAAAATAT